CACACACACACACACACACACCACACCACCCCAGTTTCCCAAGAGTGGAACTGGCAGGAAGGGAAGGAGGTCGGGCTGGGTACGAATACCAAAAGAGGAGGGTGCCAAAGTAGGGCTCTCCCACTAGCGCTCCCCAGCAGGCAGCCTGCTATCCAATGCTGTGACTTTAGTTCAGACCTCCACCCAGTCAGCCGAGGGGCCACTGAACTCCATACTTGCAGTCTTGGCCCCACTGGTCAGTTCCAGCCCTCCCCTGTGCCTTTGTCTAAGGGGGCAGACAGCAGAGAGTCCCTGGCTAGGTGGTGTGGCTAGGCTGGGCAGAAGCTCTGTCCCTCCGCTGCTGAGTGGGCAGTCAAGCGTGTACTGGAGTCAGAACTGAGGCCGGGATATGGGTCAGCGCAGAGGGGAGAGCAGGGAGGGCGGACAGGAACACTCAGCAAAGGGCAGGGGAGAGGGGCCAACAAACACTTTTGAAGAAGCTGACAGAGGAGAGCCTGAACGCCAGGCCAGAGGTCTCAACTGTCTTGATCCCTTCTCTGCCTCTTGTGTGTCCTGTGACCTTGGCCTGGCCACTCTTTCACCTCTCAGTGGCTTTGGGTTTCCATTTGTAGATAGAGGGAGTGGAAGGAGACAGTCTCTGGTTAGACTCAGAGGAGAAAAAGGAAGTAAAACAAAGACCTATGAAGAGGTCGGTGGAGAAAAGATAGAGTCAACGTTGTTAATAGAAGAAGCCAGAGAGAAGCCAACCTAGACAGAAACCAGAGTGAGAGGCAGGGAGTTGGCCCGTGAGGCGAGGAGGAGGTGGGGAAGGAGGAGGAGCTGGGAGAGGAGGATTGGGGAGGACTGTCTGGGACTCCCAGGGCTCCCTTTTGGGGAGCTGAGTGGGGTGGAGGTCTCTGGGTTTACCCAATTCTGGGGAGCCAGTGTGTCCATGGGGCCCCAATGAGAGCTGAGTCAGCCATGGGCTCAGTGCTGCAGCATCTCCCAGCAGACCACAACCGCAGGGCTGCAGAGCAAATAGGGCTGAGATTACCCTGTGCTGCATCCTGGGCTTGGGGAAGGCTCTGTTACATGGTGCACCTGGGGTCACAGGTGGTGGGGAGCAGGGCTGGGTACCCCACCCTTCCTCATACTTCTTGGTACTCCACCCTTCCCCCCGTATACTGTGAACAGTATGGGATCTGAGTCCAGGCCCACGCTGCCCAAGATGCACATGCTTTATGGCAAGGAGTTGTCCTGTCCCTCCGGTGAGCATGTGGGCAGGTGGGAAACACCCACCATCTATTGGCACTTGCAAATCGTCTCCTGGGGTTTAGCCTATGGAGTCTCTTGCACTCAGGTGAAATGATAAATACATGGGTTTTTATTTGTAGTAAGGGGTCTTCCCTGTGGCCCTTCCCCAAGCCTGCGACTTGTCCCTTACCCGTCCTCTCGAAGAAACTGCTGCATCACTTATAATGGTGAAGGATTGCACTCAATTTAAATGTTCATCCTTCAAGGACTAACTTGGGACAGGAGGACAGAGCCATGCGGTGGAAATGTGCATAGCTGTACAAATGAACCAAGGAGCTCTTAATTTTCTCCAAAAAAGCTTTTTAAGAGAGAGCGAATAAAAGGAAAAGTGCAGAATGGAGGAGAAGCATCCTACCATTTGCAGGTCGAGCCACCTCTGGAAAGATACATGGGAAACAAGTAACACTTTGGAGTGGGTGCATGGGGGGTGGAGGTGGGAAACTTCTCATTCTGTACCTTTTGTTTTGTTTTTCTAAAGATCATTTTATCGGGGCCTCTTGTGCCTTTTTTTTTTTTTAACTTTTTGAACCCTGGGTATGGACCGTTTCTTCATGTGTGAATGACTTTTCAAAAGTCTTGAGTTGCCCGGTCATCACATAGGCCCTTCCAGGAACTGCCCTGCCCCCAGACTCTGTCTCTATCCAGAGCCTCATGGGGTGGAGTTAGGCGAACACTCCCTACCATCCCTCTGGGCTCACATTGTTGGGAGAACCCTGGTGGCTTAGTGGTTATTGGTCAGCCTGCAATCCCTCAGGTCAGCAGTTTGAAACCACCTTGGGAGAAAGATGAGGCTTTCTACTCCCACAGAGTTACAGTCTTGGAAATTCACAGGGGCAGCTCTTCCCTGCTCTATGAGGTCCCTAAGAGCTCGCATCGACTCCACTTGATGGATGGCAGTGAGTTGCAGACTGTTCAAGTCCTTCTTGTGGTCTAACCTTCCTTCCTCTTGCTGCCTTGTCAATCGGGGACCGCCCCTTGTTTACACTCCTGGCATCCCTTCCTGTAGATCCCCTCATTGAGAAGGCAACCATGTGGAAGTTGTAGGACATCATTCATTCAACCTCCCTTATGCTTGGAGACCCAGGACCCAGAGAGAAGCATCTACCTTGTCTCCCAGCCAGGGAGAGACTGAGGCAGGACGAGAGGCCGGTCCCTTTCTTGTTTGAGTCTACCTCCACTGTGGCCCAGAGTCTTGGTGAAGAGACCTCAGGGCCTCTAGGCTGGGTAGGGCTATTTTGTTCATCCTAGACTCACGGAGTGGGCAGCTAGGAAGCACAGGTCTTCTTGAAGCCCCCATCAAGCCTCAGATATGCCCCTTACCTCCGTCTTAAAGAAACTGCTGGATCCACATGGGAAGTGAAACTGCGGGGGTATAAGAAGCTGGGGTACGGTTCTGAGCATGACAACCACAGTCTAAGTTTGGAGGGCTGAGAACTTGGGGGTTCATCCTGAGGACCCATATGCCCCCTTCCCCTTTACCTCCTATTACAGGCCATGGTGGCTTTGTCAATGGTCCTTGGGTTCCTGCTGGCTCTGAGCAGAGGTGAGAGGGCGCTGGACACCAAGACCCAATCCCCAGGGAAGGCCACTGAATGGGGGGACCCCCGTCTCGCTCTGCTGGGGTCCTGCCAGCCAGCCCCTTCCTGCAAGCAATGCATTCTCTCACACCCCAGCTGTGCGTGGTGCAAGCAACTGGTAAGATAGACCTGTGGCCTTTGTGTGTACGCAGCCGGGTGGACATGTGAGCAAGGGTCCTGTGTGTCCTAGTGTGGGCGTGTGTGTCATCTGGGTGCACTCTGCAGCCGTGTGCCACTGAGTCTGGGCTCCAAGGGCTCCTGTGTGTGTGCTGTGTATGTGCTGTGGTACAGGAACATGCATGAAGACTCCTGAGCGGGGATGCTGACGTTTTGGTGTACGTATGGAGAGGGCATGTGTTCAAGGATGTGGAGGAAGTAAGTCATTGGAGGAACCTGTTGTGCATGTGTACATGTGTGAAAGTAGGTGACTGAAGTATCTAAGCCTGGGCTGGGGGGGGGCGGCGGGCAGCCGTGGTCATACTGGGTGTATAGCCGTCTGACTGGAGTGGGAAGAAGGAGTTTGAAGTCTGGCTTTTGGGAAGAGGTCCTGAGCCTTGTAAGTGCAGAGTGAGTGGCTGAGAAGGATGCTGAGGAGGAGGGGTCTCTCCTTGGCTAGTCAGACCCAGAGGGTCTGTCTTTACTGTGCCTTAAAGAGGCCGAGGTCACTGAAGGGCAGGGCATGAGAGGTGGCCGAGCTAGGGACAGGGGGACAAGACGGTTTCTGTCACATGAAGCTGTGGAGTTATCTAGGACAGACACCAGGACAAGAGTGGGGCAGACAGGGAGGAAGCCTATTGGAGGCTGAAAGACACAGCTGATGGCGTTGGTGGGGCAGGTGGGGCGCGAGTGGTGGTGTTGGCTCTTGGAGCGGTTCTTCTCCTCCTCCAGTCAGGGGACCAGAAGCCTGCACCCAGGTCAGCAGAGAAGAGAAGAGCTCTGTTTCCTTCCCCTGCGGCTTCCTAGCCCGCCCCGGGTGCGAGACACAAGGGGAAGTGTGTGAAGGGGTGCCCTCTTCCGTGGGTCCCTGTCCTTCTCTTCCCAGGAAGCAAGGGTGGCTATTTAGTCAGCTCACAAAGGTAGGGAAAGGCGGGCTAGTGGCCAGGCTTCCCTTTTGGGGAAGTCCTAAGCTCTCAACCGGAAGTGAGGTGGCCCTAGGGGGAAGACGGAGGAGGGTGTCTGCTAATAGGTGAACCAAGGTAAGGGTAGGGAGAGTGGGGGTGCTCCAGGAAGTGGGGTTCCCAGATGTCAAAGGACAGGGGAGGGGGAGGGGAAGGGGAGCTGACTGAGAGGGGAGGTGGTCCAGAGGGCAGGGTGGTTCTGGGAGTGGGACCGAGGGATGGAGCGGGTGTGGGTGTGGGTGTGACAGCGCTCTACCTGTTACCCAGAACTTCACAGCATCTGGGGAGGCGGAGGAGCGGCGATGTGCTCGGCGGGAGGAGCTGCTGGCCCGAGGCTGCCCCACCGAGGAGCTGGAGGAGCCCCGGGGCCGGCGGGAGGTGCTGGAGGACCGATCCTTCAGCCAGGGCACGGGTGGCGGCCAAGGCACTGTCCAGCTGGCGCCGCAGCGGGTCCGCGTCACGCTCCGGCCGGGTGAGCGTGGGTCAGCTCCCTGTCTGGACGCGGGGAGGTGCGGGCTGGGCTCGTCCCCACCCCCCCACGCTCACATCCCACCCCCGCCCCGTCCCCAGGGGAGGCGCAGCGGCTCCGAGTGCGCTTCCTGCGGGCGGAGGGCTACCCAGTGGACCTGTACTACCTCATGGACCTGAGCTACTCCATGAAGGACGACCTGGAGCACGTGCGCCAGCTGGGGCACGACCTGCTGCTGCGGCTGCAGGAGGTCACCCATTCCGTGCGCATCGGTGAGCCCAGGACGGCCCCCACCCCGCCCTGGGCTCCCTGCGGACTTAACCTCTGACCACCAGAGGCACCACGAGGGGGGGGGGCCCCTCCACCTGCCCTCGCCCGCCTTCTAACAGACCTGGCCAGCCTCTGATGTCCCTTCCAAGACACCCACCAGTCAAGGGCGAGATGGAGGTCATTTGCCAGACTCTCGACCCCAGGCTTTCTCTCAGGGACCAGGAGGGCTAGATGCCATCATCCCTGGCTGCGCATTCTGCACTCAACTGTTTCCTGTTCAGGGCACCCCTTCCTCCCACATCATTCTACACCCCCCCCCCATCTTCCTCCTTCCTTGGCCTTCAGGAAGCCCCTGGGCCTCTCCTGTCTTTGCATCCTGCAGCCCCTCTGCCCTTGGCTGCTCCTGCCAGGCCTCTCCAGGGCTACCTTCTCCAGCACCCCCTTTATGGCTGCCACCTCGCCCTCCCTTCTGAGTCCTCAACTGGCCGCTGACCCCTCCCTCGCACCCCCGCTCCAGGCTTCGGCTCCTTTGTGGACAAGACGGTGCTACCCTTCGTGAGCACGGTGCCGTCCAAGCTGCGCCACCCCTGCCCCACCCGGCTGGAGCCCTGCCAGCCGCCCTTCAGCTTCCACCATGTGCTGCCCCTGACCAGCGAGGCCAAGGTCTTCGAGCGGGAGGTGGGGCTCCAGAACGTGTCCGGCAACCTGGACTTGCCCGAAGGTGGCTTTGATGCTCTTTTGCAGGCTGCGGTCTGTCAGGTAAGGCTCAGCCTGCAGGGCCACCTGGGTCCCCGGGCTGTCACCCATGGTGCCACTCCGTGATGGATGTCACTGTAGATTTGCATACGAGAGGGTCAAAAGTCTTGATAGACTCCCATACATTATCTTGAGGAAGAAGCATGTTTTCCTGACTCACTGGAAGGGCCCACCCCCCGGTTGGGGGTGCTGGGGAGAGCTCCGAGAATCGGGGAGCTGAAGACAAGGGGATGGAGCGAAGACTGACTCAGAACCAGGCTGGCTAGGGAGCTCCTTGGCTAAGGAGATTGCGGGTGGTGGTGGTGACTGGGGTGGTGCTGCTGCGAGGGCTTGTCCAGGCACACAGACTACTCTGCCTCTGGCCCACCCCAGGAGCAGATTGGCTGGCGAAACGTGTCCCGGCTTCTGGTCTTCACCTCCGATGACGTCTTCCACACGGCTGGGGATGGGAAGTTGGGCGGCATTTTCAGGCCCAGCGATGGACGCTGCCACTTGGACAGCAATGGCCTCTATAGTCGTAGCGCAGAGTTTGTGAGTCCACTTCTTTCCTCCAAGAACCACCCTTGGGGTCCACACTCCTTGCTGCTGTCCCTCGGCCATCCCACCCCCACCCATGCCTTAGTCCTTCCCCAGCTTCTAGAACTCCACCTGCTGCTGGAACCCTGGTTCCTGCACCTCCTGGGCTGGGGGCACCTTGCCTGGGGGGTGTCCTGTGGTCCTCACCTTGCCCCCCATCCTTCCCCGCCTGCCCAGGACTACCCCTCTGTGGGTCAGGTTGCTCAGGCCCTCTCTGCGGCGAATATCCAGCCAATTTTTGCTGTCACCAGTGCCACGCTGCCTGTGTACCAGGTAAGGGCTGCCAGATGCCCTCCTGTTCCCCCTGGTGCCTATCTCCCGCAAGCTGTAACACCCTCCCTCCCCCCACTCCTCTTCACCTAGGAGCTGAGCAAGTTGATTCCCAAGTCCACAGTCGGGGAGCTGAGCGAGAACTCCAGCAATGTGCTGCAGCTCATCATGGATGCTTACAACGTGAGGAGGCCCTGCCGGGGTGTGGGGAGGGAGAGGGCTCAGGAGGGGCCGGAAGTAGCCAGACTACTACGAGGGTCTGGTCACATTGGGGTCTGACTCTCCACAGCTCCTATTTAGAGTTAGTGTGAGACTATCATTAATAGTCTGGCCATTTCGTGTGACATTGGGACTACCTAAGAGCTAGGTGCCAAGTGTGGAGTCCGACTTGGAGAGAGATGTGCTTTGGGCTTGCTTGGTAACTATGGCCATCCCTGTTGTAGAGTTGAGGACAAAGACCCAGGAGGTGAAGTGACTTGCCCTAGGACACATACAACACACACACACACCAATGGAAGGGCTGGCATCTGTCTTCAGTGTCAGTCTCTACACAAAGACTGAACCCTGATGTCTGCGCCTTCTTCAGTAAGCTTGTACACAATCCAAAAACCTGCTTCCCTGCCGCCACCAAATTTGACAGGTGGCAGGAACCGGCGAAATCCAGGTTTCTCGAGTTTCGGTCTTATCTTTGTGGGTAGACTGTGAGTTCCTCGGTGACAGGGACCAGGCCAGTTGCCACCAAGGGGAAAGGTGGTTCTTGTGGCTGTGACCTTTCACAAGCGGACGGCCAGGCATTTCTTCCAAGGCACCTCTGAATAGCTTCAAACGACTCCCCTTTGGTTAGCAGCTGAGGGCGCTCTGTGCCACCCAGGGGCTCCTTGCTAACGGGGCCCGAGTCTTACATCCACGGTGAGAAAATGAAAGCACAGATCAAATTTCCCAGGCCAATCCAGTGTACAGGCTGGGCCCTTCAGACCTTATCCGTGTCCTGACTGGGAGTGTGGCCGTTTGGATCAGTGCCAACCTACGGTGTCTGGCGACCTTTGACCTCTAGCAGACCCTTGCTGGCAGCTGTGTTCAGCCCTTGGAGGGCCCCTGTGCACTCCACTCACAGTCTGCACAGTCCCTTCCTCCGGGCACCCCTCTTCGCTGGGCAGCCTAGAGGGCAGGGTTCCGGCAGCTCAGATTTTGGATTCGCTGGAGCGAACGTAAAGCCATCGTCAGAGGTTTCAGGGGGTACCCATCTTTATAGCGGCATCTCTCTCCTGAAGAGCGGCTGGTGGGTCTGAATCGTCCAATCAGCAAGAGTTGGCTTGCTAACCTCAAGACTGGCTGGCTGTTCGAATCCACCAGCTGCCCCTCGGGAAAAAGATGAGGTTATCTGTTCCTGTAAAGATTTACAGCCTTGGAAACCTTGCCTAGGGTACCCGCTCTGTGCCTTGGAACGGACTGAATGGCGGGGTTTGGTGAGAACAGGAGTCCTTAGGTGATACGATTGATTAAGCACTCAGCTCCTGACAGGTTGGTGGCTTGAGCCCACTGAGTGAGCAGGGCGTGGGCAGAAAGACCTGGAGACCTGCCGCTGGAAGGTCCCAGCCACAAGAAGCCTGTGCAGCCCAGGGCTGCGCTGCACGTGGGCAGTCACCAAGGCAGCGTCCCACCTCCCCACAGAGCCTGTCATCCACGGTGACCCTGAAGCACGTCACACCCCTGCCTGGGGTCAACATCTCGTATACATCTCAGTGTGGTGGTCCTGAGAAGGAGGGTGAAGCCGGGGACCAAGGCCAGTGCGATAATGTCCGCATCAACCAAACGGTGAGAGCTGCTCCGGGCGGTGTCGGGATCAAAGACCGGGCGGGCCAAGAGCGTACGCAGCTGCATAGGGCATCCTCCAGCCACGCTCTAGAGGACAGGTGTGTGTGTGTGTGTGTGTGCATCCTCCAGCCACGCTCTAGAGGACACGTGTGTGTGTGTGTGTGTGTGTGTGTGTGTGTGGTAGTCTGACTTTTCCCACATGATCCTCAGGTGGATTTCTGGGTTACTCTCCAATCCACCCACTGCTTCGAAAAGCCCCAGTTTCTGAAGTTCCGGGCCCTTGGCTTCTCCGAAGAGCTGACAGTGGAGCTGGTCACACTGTGTGACTGCAATTGTAGCGATGCCCAGCCTCAGGCTCCCCACTGCAGTGACGGCCAGGGGCGGCTGCAGTGTGGGGTGTGCAGGTGAGCACTTCCTGGACCCCTTCACGCAACTGTGTGGCTCTTGTCCCCCCCTTCAGGGTCTCCAAGTAGCTTCACCCTAGAGGCCCCACAACCCAACCCTGAGTTGCCTACTGGGGTGCCTCCCGGATATACCCCTTTCCTGCCTTGCCCTGGACCCTGGAACTTCCTCTACTCGTCCCTCTTGGTCTCCCGCACCCCAGCACTCCTTCAGCCTCCTGTCTCTCGTGGGTTGAGGCAAGTCTGCAGCAGAAGAGGAGGCAGGCTGCTTCTGTAAAGATGTCCAGCCTTGGCAACGCTAGGGAACAGTTCTACCCTGGCCTACTGGGCCATTAGGAGTTAGAATGGACTCAATGAGAGTTGTGTGTGTGTAGGGGACCAGACTAAGGGGCAGTCTAACTCTGTGACCGCCTTCTCCCCTGCTGTCCCCTCGCCTTCTCCTTCCAGCTGTGCCCCTGGACGTCGGGGCCGGCTTTGCGAGTGCTCGGAGGCTGAGATGGCCTCCCCCGATCTGGAGTCGGGGTGCCGGGCCCCCAATGGGACAGGCCCCTTATGCAGCGGGAAGGGCCGGTGCCAGTGTGGACATTGTCGCTGCAGCGGGCAGAGCTCCGGGCGCCTGTGCGAGTGTGACGATGCCAGCTGTGAGCGGCACGAGGGCCTGCTCTGTGGAGGTAGCTGGTGCCTGTGGGAAGGGCTCTCCCCAGGGTGGGGGCCCACTGCAGAAGGGCTGGGACACAGGTCTGGGTGGTGGCGTAGGGCATCCACTTGTGTGGGCGGTGTGGTGGTCACACAACATATGGCTCTGCCCCAGGCTTTGGCCGGTGCCAATGTGGAGTGTGCCAATGTTGGGGCAACCACACGGGCAGGGCCTGCGAGTGCAGCGGGGCTGTGGACAGCTGCGCCAGCCCCGGTGGGGACCAGTGCAGTGGGCACGGCGACTGCAGATGCAACCGCTGCCACTGCCACCGCGGCTACTACGGTGCGCTGTGTGACCAGTGCCTGGGCTGCGAGACCCACTGTGAGAGACACCGGTGAGGCACGGCTGCGGGGCACAGGGGGCAGCTGGACGGGCTGGTGGGAGAAACTACCAGCCTGCTAACTTCTTGGGGTCTGCTGCGCAGGGACTGTGCAGAGTGCATGGCCTTCGGGACTGGTCCCCTGGCCATCAATTGCAGCTTGGCTTGTGCCCATGTCAACATGACTTTGGCTTTGACACCCGT